CTTGTGACCATATTTTACTGTCTCAGATTTGAAACTACCCTTTTTGTCTCCTATGACTTGCAGGGTCATGGTGGAGTTATTCGACCCCGCCTCCACGTGGGGGGGACCTCTTTCTCTTTCTTTAGCCAGAGTATCTTACTGTTATATAGTTTTGGGTCTGACTTCACAGAAAACACTGCCTAGCACTGGACCTCTGCTGTTGTCCCATATTGTTGTAGGCTTTACATGGCAACAGGCTGTTTACCAAGAATCTCTCTCTGCGGAAATGTGTTCAAAGAGCATGTGCATCACAATATACATAATCTCGAAGTGCACAAAACTGTCCTTATACTGAATTGAATACATAAGTGAAGTTTCATAATATAACTGTGCCGTATATTAATTTGAAATGTGGAATTTGATAATCAGAGTTTTACTTGTAAAGAATGTAATTTCTATGCCATTTCATGTACCCAGTGTCTTTCACTGTCATTTGTGAATAATATGGGCAAGGCTTCCAAAATTTCAAAGATTATGGGCAGTAACTGCATCAGTTGCTGCCTTGCAGGATTTGTCAGATGCAGTGGTGATGAGACTGCAGCAACATCACAGAGTGAAATTTGCTTACCTACATTGCCAGATATGTTGAAGGTGTTCCCCATCAACCTGGATACATTCCCATACCTAAACATTATGTATTCAACACTGTAGTTGTTCATTGGGTTCCTCCAGAAATGGATTGATACTAGTAGGCTTTATGTTTTAAAAATCCCCCAGAAAGAGAAATGGCATGGATTAATGTCAGGAGAAAAGGTCACATAACCATTTTGTTCAAGAGTTGCATGGAATACCGGAAGGTGTGTGCAGTTGTTGAAATGTGTTCGGAAGTGTCCAGTATTTGGCATGTCAGTTTCATCAAAATTTGCTGCAATATCTGCTTTATGCTCTTAGAATTGATGGTTTCTGATGGTGGGTCCAATAAGACTGTTTTATGCATTCAGGTATAATTCAAGTACAAGAAGTTTTGGGAGGAACTGATCACAACATATTGTGTATTTGATATAACATGGACTGCATAGAAAACACAGCATACAATAGTTCTTCTGCTGTTGGTGTGTATTCATTGCCACAGGTCTGTGTTTACTGAGCTGTTGCCTGGCAACAGCTGTCTATTTTGGCTTCAGCATTCCAGCTTTGACGTCATGTCACATTGCTCCCTCCTTTGGCCTGCTATTCTGAGAGCCTACGGGTGTACTGCAGTTTCTTCTCCGAGCATGCATGTGGTGTCTGTGATCACCCTCGCGAATGGCCACATGTTATACTGATATGGACACTTCTTCCATTTGTAACAACATCTAGGTTTCATTCCTCAGGTTGGGATTGACGCTGCTGTCCTCCAACCACTCCATCATTAGGGTAGCTTGTCTCTAGGCATTGGGGGGAGGGGGTACATACAGATAGCATTTTTAAAAATATAGAGATTAGCAGAAAACTAAACATTGCCTGAAGAAAGTCTCAAATTGAGACTAGGTTCAGTGTTTTGAAGTGACTGAGGTGACAGGACAGTCTCACTCCACCTGTACAGGGATATTCCTGCTTTTAATGTTGAGATTCTGAGTAATGTTTCTGTGGGAAGGTTGAACTTTGGAAAACTTCTGAATCTTTTCCTAGTTTTCCTAGCAGAATTGGTGTAAACTTGCCCGTGTGTGCAGAGAGAATCTCACGCAACACTGCTTTTTATGTAAATATCCCAAGGGAATGTAATATCACTTCTAATGCTCTTGCTGACATCATGGTAACCGTTACAGTGTTACAGCCCCACCATGACAGCAGATGACCAAGTTGAAAAGGCTCCAGTCAGTGCACTGTTTACACACAATGGAATGCCACATAATCCCACTTGTATCTACTTGATGAGCTCCACCCAACCATGGCTAGACGGGCATATTTCTGAGGATGGAGTCCCATAGCTGTAGTGACAGTTACAGATACCAAAGATAATAAAAGTATAGACTTCACTTTTCACTGGACAAATGACACTGTAGATGTTCAGTTCATGTGTGGTATGCAAGTGTAGTAGTGTAGACGTTTGTTCATTCTCATTCTAATTTGGGTGATCATTTAACTACAGAGACACTAATTCATCCAGGATATGTACACTAGACTGAAAATACTAATTCTGTGGGTGACTTTTTTGGAGTCCTGGTATTATCACTTGTCACAATCAAATAATCAGAAAAGCAAGTTCATTGTCAGCCTGAATTGTCTGGTAATGCCTGGAATACTGTAGAAAGTACACTCATGAATGTTTGCAAGAAATGAGCATTTTGTTTGGAAAATTATATTTCCTGTAAAGTTTTGATTTTTAATGCTTCAGAGTACAATGCAACCAGTAAATTAAATGTAAACATTTATCTTATTTTGAAGGTTATGGAAATCAAATGGATGGCCTATTCAGAAAACGTACTCTAGCATAATGCTAAATTTATGCCATACACATAATTTAGGCATTACAGCATTAATAAATATCTGACAGTAGGAAATATTTAGCATATGCTCTTGTAAGTAATTTGATACCAGCCAATTATGTTTATCTGTAGTAATGCGTCCTATCGACATCCCAGAAATTGGTGGTTCTGCAGCTTGTCATATGCCTGTAAGAGAATCTTCAGGCACGGGGTTGTTTCTTATTTGGATGAGCTATGTGGTCAGGCATGAGTGGTGGTGCTCCATTGTTTCTCCTATACTATTGTGTCGCAGGAGCACACATTACATAGAACATTCAACTAGTGTAAGGCAATTGGCAGAGGTTTTCAACTAAACTCAGGTTTGGAATGTGCAAATTATTAATGAGATGAAGTATGTCTGGAACAGTCAAATTGAAAATTGAAATTTTCAGCAAAATGTATGTAAAAATACAAAGATATGTAATGTGAAACAGTTGATATTATCACATTCCTTTTTATATTACACATTATTTAAGCCATGACAACTCAGTGATGAGTTTCTAGGTGTAACTAGGTTTGGTAGTGTGTGGTCAGTTCTGTTTTGTGGTATCCATGAGTATTTTAATGCATGTCTCAATTAAAAATAATGTAAATAAGGGTCCATGAGAAATAATCTGTTATTCTTTATTGAATATATTGGTAAGAAATAAGTATGCAAATCGCTGACTGCAAGTTTTACTGGTTAAAAGTTCATTCTGTTTAAAAAAATAAAACTACCCAGCCTAGTTATAAAAAGGTAGGGATGCAAATTAGACATTCAGATTTTTAAATTTTCAGCAGTTTAACTTGTTAACTTTTCCATTTGAAGTTTCTAAAGTTTTCCATGTCTTCTAAAAATCTTATTTGCATCTCTGCTACCTTGAATTTACGGGTGCTTCCAGTCTTGCCATAAACCAATGTAGCTATGACATTGTGATTTTAAGGAACATTTTTTAAAATAAAATTCTATTTGCGGATACAGGCAAGTCGCTTGTTAACATTTATTAGTAAAAGTAATAAATTCATAAATGGCTTTATAAAACTTTAACTTTTTTTTTTTAATTTATAATCTAGAGTTGAACTGACATGTTCCCAAAGAAAGTCGTTGGCAAGAGTAATGTTCACTTCAAGAAAACCACTGCACCAAGCTGCTCTCATCAGTCATAGCAGTGGTACTGGATTGTACTATGATCTGCCACCCACAGTTCTCTTTTGGGACATCTTTCATCCTTTTGGTGCAACCAGACCATGCAATCCCTGTAACCCATCACTTTAGTGCATTATATATATATATATATATAGTCTTGAAAATTCCTGCATAGTCCTACACATTTGGTCTGCATACATATGGGTTTTTACAAAATAGTTGTGGCAATTCTTTACTCAAATTTAATTTTATGAACACCCACAAATGCTAGTTTTGTTTGATTTGAGTGTTTCTGCACTACATACTATCTCAAAACCATATGATAAACTACTTTCCCTGTCTGGATTAAACTTCACCATCAAAGGTTAGATTAACAAGAATGATGAAGTGTTTAGCATATCACTGAAGCAAACACACACATAGGACATTGCTTCAATTATATTTGTACTCCCAGCGGTAGCAGAGTTTGTTGGGACACTATGCTACAAACTGGAAGGTTGCAGGTTTGAGTCCTGATTTTTTCAATTGACCTGATCCTTCCAACCACACTATGGCCCTGGGGTTGACTCAGCCTCGTAACAGAAATGAATATCCGGAATCTTCCTGGGGGGTAAAGGGTGGCTGAAGCATAAGGCTGACAACTTCACTGCCATCTATAAGCTGATTGTCTAGGAAATGTGGGAGCATCATAGAAATTGAAGATTACTTATATTAAAGGAGATAACTGAAAATATTCTCCATCAGCTAGGATACATTTGCCACACCTAAACAAATTCATAACTCACATCTAAGGATATCCATACAGGCCGCACAATAGCTCAAGTGATTAATTGCTGGCTTCCCACTGCGGCGGCCCGGGTTCGATCCAGGGGTCTGGTCGAGTGGGATTTGTGGTGGACAAAGTGGCGTTAGGGCGGGTTTTCTCCGAGTACTTCGGTTTCCCCTGCCAATCTTAATTCCACCAAATTCTCCATCATCACCCGTGGCAGGTACACTGGCCGACGTGCCGAGTGGACTGAGCTGGACTCCAACCCCCACTATGCGAATTGACATTTTGAGTTCTTGAACTGGAGGTGCAGAAGTGATTCACAAAATCATACAGAAAATGAATTTCCTATAATAGCATATTTAGTATTATTTAGATTGAGCATGTAAGAATGAGATGAGGGATACTGAAAGTTACAGGAGGTGATGTAAGGTAGTGCAGAACAGTGCAAGTGCACCAATTGAGAAGATTAAACCAGGCAAGAAGCAAGTAGGACTCTGCTTGCTGCTGAATTCTTGCTTGATTTACTCATCAAACCTGAAGATGGAGGGATTACTTTCCTCCAGAACGGTGTATTTCTAGTGGACCACATGGCATTACATCCCAGAAGACAAGTGCAGTATGTTGGAATACCAGAATTTTTATTGTAAATATCTTATTTCACAGTTGTGTTACATTTCTGAATTATCTTGTATTAAATTAATATGCCTGACAGTATTTTCATAATACATATTCACTTTCACCATTGTTTCACTGGGTACCAGTTCCTAATATTTTCTGATGTGCCACTGTCGTCAGTATTCTCGACACTCATGTTCACATCTGCTGCATTCAGTACCACTGTTTCTTCCTCTTCACTGTCTCCGCTCAGTTCTATGGAAATATTACAATCAAATCAAAACTTGTAAGATTTAAGGCTATCACGGCAGTGACTGAAGAAAGCAGTCTTCTGGGATTTGGCACCGTGTATATGTGGTGTTAACCGACGTTTCGGAGGAACNNNNACCCCCCCTCCCCAGCTTAAGTGTTAGTGCCCAGCCTTTAACCTTGCCTTTCTCTCCCCCAACACAAAAACCCTCCTTGTCCCAGCTCCTTCCCCCCCCTCCAACATTACTGGTTTCACTTGTATACTTGCCCTTCCCCCCTTCCTTCTCTGCTCTCACATAGCTGTGTATATTTCCAACACCAGTCTGCTTTTACCGGTTCTCACGGTCTCTTCGCTTGCGGATCTCTTATATTTTCCTTCTACCCTGAAGATGGAGGTGATACGTTCCTCCGAAACGTCGGTTAACACCACATATACACGGTACCAAATCCCAGAAGACAGCTTTCTTCAAATCAAAACTTGTATCAGTATTTTGTACAGATCACAACCTTCTTATATATATCAATCAATACTCCTTATGGCAAAAAAATGCTATTTTACATCTAACACAAACCTGACAGCAATGTGCTCACTCATTCACATGTCATAATGAAACACCAATCTTAAAATCTGGCCAGAATCAGGCTAATTTCACATAACAGTGCTTGTAATTCATTCTACAAACCATTAAAATGCAAATACTGGAAATACAGTATGGATTCTAAAAATCTCCTGTAAGGTAAATGTGAGGGGGGATTGCCCCTGTACTTTAGGTGAGTGGTCACCTTCATGCTTTTGAGAAAGAGCCCCCAATACCCACAGGGGCCTGGATGGTGCAGAAAATAAAAATTCCTTGTCCCTGCTGAGGACTGAACCCCAGCCATCCAACCCACAGTCCGTCACTATAGTGACTGGAGATATTCTAGCTGTCTCAAAATCTCCCATATAATAAATCTGACAAAATATTTAGAACAAACTTATCATTACATTATAACTTATATGGGATATCAGTTTGGAGCTGGGATAGTGTAGTCAGTATGGGATCTGTTAGTATTTAATTGTGTTAAGAGTATGCCGAAGTTCTAGGATACATACCAATACTATCAACTAGCTTGTTCCCTTCATAGCTGACTTCCTTTATCACTTCCACATCTGATGGGCTGGACATGACTTCATCAGACTCATCCAAACTTTCATTGTCACCCTCTATCTTCATCCACTGGTTCTGACCTATGATCATTTCATGGTTCTATGATAGAAACACTACTTTCATATTCTTATTAAGATAGAGTGAAATCCATTTAAGATGACACTGTTTAAGATGTTTCCCCACTTTAAACATTAAAATAATTTGGTTACAAAATATATATTCTACCCTATCAATACATTTCCAATTAAACAAGATTTTGCACCTAAAAGGAAAGTAACCTACATCATGAAACAAACACTTTACCCAGTTTTGTACAGTTCTGTAACAAAACACATGTATTTAATTTCCAGAGTTTAACTTCCTACTTCAATTTCCATCAAATGCACAGTAAAGAGGTGATGCTTCAGCTTGGCATCCACCACAGTAAATGCACAGTGGCTCAATACACAGGGCAGAGCTTCCTGTTCGCTTTATTATCTCATTCATGTTAGGAGAGTATGCTCATTTTAGAGAAAATCACCACCAGCCTTAGAATGATCCACTGTCATTGCAAAAGTATCTAATACATTCAGGCATAACTAATATGTAATGAGTCAACACGTGAATAGACTTTCCATAAGCGTTGCCACCAAACGTCATTTTTATGATGCAGGATATTTAAACTGATGACAGGAAATTTAAAAAATGTATGTTACAAATACCCAGATTAACCTTGTAACTGACAAGTGACAGTATATCAGATTTCAACAATGAATGGTTAATAGCCATGCAGCTCATGATAGCCAAGCAGTCTAAGACATGCACTGTCTTCACTCTCTCAGAAGCCAGGATTGTAGGTTCAAATCCCACTCAGGGCATGGATGTTTAGTGTTTGTATGTGCGTGTGTGTGCGCGTGCGCGCACGCACCTTTTTATGTTTGTGTACAGGTAGAGTACTGATCACCTGCCCTTGGAGTCCTACCAAATGTCTTAAGATCTAGTAAACCGAAGTGAAACGGAGAGTTTCATGGAAGGTAGGCCAAGGCCCAAATTGGGGCTGTAGCACCAAAAGTGGGGGGGGACATTGCTGGGAATGGGCAATGACAATGTTGGAAATGTATCAGGAGTTGAAATAATGTACTGAGAGAGGGAACAATAACATTTTCCAACACACTGACACATGTACCCATGTTAAGTGGGTCTTTTGTCACCGTGGCATGGCATGTCCTCAGGTTGAGGATGGAGGAGACAGCCTCCAGATATGGAGGGTAGCCATCAATATATCGAATAAGCAGTTGTGGACAGCTGACAAGATGTGGAGATAAAGCTTCACACATTCTTAACTTTCACACTGGATGCAGGTTAGCTCCTTGCTCTAGACCCATTTCCTATTGGGGAAAGAGCTCTCAGCACTCCTTAGAAGGCTGAATGGATTACAGAAGCATTTGGGACATGGCGAACAGAAAAACTCACAGTGCCCTTGCCTGGAACCTAACCCCATGCATCCTCTCTGATTACTGACCGTGAAATTACATATCATACCTCCTTCTCCCACTCCTGCTTCGGTTGGTACCGTTCTTTCCGTCTTAATACGCTTCTGTTTTGGAAGAAGCTCAGCTGAACCTCTATCAAGAAGAATTACAGATGGTTCCACTTCCACATCCTCATCACGATCATCTGCCAGAACAGATAAAAAAGTAAAAGTAAAGTTATCCCTGTAACAGGCTGTGGAGGCCCATAGGGTTGTGAGATGTTGAGGCTCCCACATTCTCTAGACAGTCGGCTCACAGATGGCGGCAAGGTTGTCAGTCCTATGTGCTGGCCGCCCTTCACCCCCAAGGGTACTCATTTCTGTTAGAGGCTGAGTCAACCCCAGGGCCATAGTGCGGCCGGAAGGATTAGGTCAATTGAAAAAATCCAATGACCTCATCGGGACTTGAACCCACGACCTTCCGGCTTGCAGCATAGTGCCTCAACCAACTACGCTACCGCATGCCCCGCCAGAACAGATAATTAGGTTAATATGGGTAAATGGAATGGGACATCCAAAATGCAAACATAATAAGTTTTGGGAAGAACCTGAACCCTACTTTCCCTCAAATGTTGAGATCTATATAAGTGAGGTTGGCAAAACTAATAAATGATCACAGCATATGAAGTTACTAATATATTAATAATGATAATTTATGTTTTTTCTTAGTTATTTAGAATCTGGACGATGGACAAAGTCTGAAAACCTGGTATGTGTGTGTTATACACCATCGTCAGAACCCTATAGTGTCTAATAATGATACGGTTTTGTGATTTATTTCTGTGCATTATTTCCATTAGTAAGGTTGTAGACAGCTGTGAACTGCACATAAGGCATTTTTTTAACTCTGTAGAGAACTTTTACAATAATGGAAATATATGTAAGACAGATACACTATATACGAGGAAAAGAAACAGAAATAATGTATAATGTATTTCACACATTTTATTTATTGACTAGCTCACTACACTAATGGTCCAATAAAACATTACCTTGTCCACTGTCAACTTTAACTCCTTTTTCATCATACATGATGTGTTTATTCTTCTTCTGAACTAACTTCAAAGTTTCACCTCTCAGCTGGGAAGTATCCAACTGCAAACCAAGTTGCTTCTGTGATAATGCCAACAGTTTAGTCTCTTGAATACATTCTGAAAATCCCACAGATTTTCCAGCAGCCCTAAAATGTGAGACATATGGTGAAAACATCAGTTCAACATACTGCACCTCCATTTTTAATATGAAAATTGCACAAGTACTATGCCTTACTGGGGGCACGCGGTAGTCTGGTTGGTTGAGGCACTATGCTACAAGCTGGAAGGACATGGGTTCGAGTCCCGATGAGGTGTATTTTTTCCAATGGACCTAATCCTTCCAGGTGCATTATGGCCCTGGGGTCGAAAAGGGCAGCCAGCGTGTAACGCTGAGAAATTTGCTGCCATCTGTGAGCCGCTTGTGTAGATATTGTGGGAGCCTCAGCATCTCACAACCCTGTCTCCCTCCATGGTCTGTTACGGGGACAGTGTTACCTTTATTATGCCTTATACAGTAAGTTTTGGTTGTCTGGCCTCCATCCATCCACCCAGAATTCTCTTGGAACTGGCATTAGGGAGTTACTTCACACACAAAGCTGCAATGCGGTACATTTCCCAGCTGTCATTATAGCCAGTGTTCTGTGGTGACAGAAGATGATAGCAGAATTTGTGATCGCACTGCAGTATATCAACAGTCTTTCATCCATGAATCTGTTCTGTCACCTAAGAAGACTCAAGGAAAAATGGATTACTCTGACAAAAAATTGAAATATGCAGCAAAAAAAAGTGAGATTGTGAGAAAATTGTGTTCATGTAAGAGTTTCTCTAATGCAACAGGCAGATTCACATAACCAGAACATCCTACACCCCACACCTGCAAGATAATGGGAAGTTTACTGGAGGTCTATATGGTTCTTGTTAAACTGACTCAATTAATAACAACAGAAGGCAAAATGCAGAAAATTATTATTCTGAACTTTAATATGTGTAATGTAGGAATTGTGCCAGCAAAGCTGTTAGAACATTTCTTTAGAGCTGCTATATTTTGCAGTCAGAATATGACAATCCATGAAACACTATTAGAAGAGGAACGACATAATAATGAGGTCTCTTCAAGAGTACCAAGCTACAGTCAAGGTTTATGATCTCGGACAGACAAGCAGTACAGATGACCCAGTGAGAGGTACATATATCAAAATGGTTAAAGCTGTAAAATATACCATACAAATATATGCATAAAATGACAATGACATACTATTTATGCATACCACACTCCTGAAATATTTTGTACATCAAATATATCTCCAACAGTTGGCTTGCTATTCCATTAAATCATTCATTCATTGATCACTAAGTTTAAAGGAATGAATTGGTTATATCTAACGAAGATCACTTTAAACAAATAGAACCAAAATTAAAATAAAACTTAAATTAACATCTTTTATTTAACAATTTTGTTTTCCATCCATCATGCAACAATATCAAGATTTAAAATTAAATCATTTTAAAATCTGTTACTGCACTACATGTTTCAGTCTATTTGGCCATGATCAGGTACATTCAGACGCTGTGCCTTCCACGCTACTGTGATCAGTGCTTAATTTTAAATCTTGATATTGTTGCATGGTGGACAGAAAACAAAACTGTAAAATAAATTCTAGTACCAACTGCAACGGGATGCTAAGATACAACATTTAAATTAGCCTCACTTTTGTTAATAGTGTTTCCCTCATAAAGCAAAGTAAGTAAAGGTATCCCTGTAACAGGCCATGGAGGCCCATAGGGTTGTGAGATGTTGAGGTTCCCACATTTTCTAGACAATCGGCTCATAGGTGGCAGTAAGGTTGTCAGCCTTACATTCCGGCTGCTCTTTACCCCCAAGAATATTCCTGGTACTCATTTTTGTTAGAGGCTGAGTCGACCCCAGGGCCATAGTGCTGCTGGAATGATTAGGTAAACTGAAAGAAATTCAATGACCTCATCAGGATTCGATCCCGTGACCTTCCAACTTGCAGCATAGTGCCTCAACCAACTACGCTACTGGGTGCCCCCGTGTTTCCCTCATACTAAACAAAATAGTTATACCAGGATACTCATGAAAATGTGATCAGAATTTGACATCTAAGTGTGTTAGTAAGAATGGAATTGTCATACCTGGCATCAGCATCCTCTTTTAGTGCCAATTTCATTATCTGGACCACTTCAGCAGCTCTTCTGGCCGCTCTGTTTGCACACTGCAGGATCAAGTCGTGACTTGTCAAAGAACTTCCACCCAAGTGAAGGCCACAGAGCTCTCTGTAAGCATTCACTCCAAACACAACCTGTGCCTCTGACACTCTTTCCTCTATAGCTGTAGGATCTGCAATGATATGCTCGCTGAAAATGTGTAATTAAATTGTTAGTATGACTTTGAGGGCATTATGAAAAGCACTGTAAACTTCTTTCCTACAAATATTCTGATAACAGACATTTACTGTACAAAGATAATCCTGGAGCCTAGTAACATACAGTGCTGACAAAACTGTGTGTTAAAATTTCAAGAACTTTTATATGAACATTTTAGAAGGAGACATGTCTTTATTGTAAAAGTAAGTAAAGGTATCTCTGTAACAGGCTATGGAGGCCCACAGGGTTGTGAGATATTGAGGTTCCCACATTTTCTAGACAATTGGCTCACAGATGGTAGTGAAGCTGTCAGCCCTACATGATGGCCGCGCTTTACCCCTAAGAATATTCCAAGAATATTCCTAGTACTCATTTCTGTTAGAGGCTGGAAGGATTAGGTAAACTGAAAAAATCCACCTCATCGGGATTTGATCCCACGACCTTCCGACTTGTAGAATTGTGCCTCAACCAACTACGATACTGTGTGCCCCCAAATATCTTTATTGTACACTACTTTAAATGCCATCAAGCATATAAAAATAAGTTATTTAAAAAAAAGTGTTATATAGGATGGAAATACAGTTCTTGATTATTATCACATGGCAATTTGCAGTTAATAAGAACAACGTATATGTAATCAAGAAATGCAGTTCACTATTCACACGTTTTTATAAACAATCTCTTTTATTCCTATGTTAAGATGTGTGTGTGTATATATATATATATATATTGCAACGTGTTTGCAATCCAGAAGAGTCACTTCCATGGAAACACCAGAACAGACCGTTGCATAGGAAACAACAATCGCTCCATTGTAGTTCTAACAGGAGTCTCCATGGTTATAACAGAGGGTTCATTTGCATAGCAGCGGCCGAGGGGATATATAGCCCAGCTTCGACTAGAAGTAGTCAGTCTTTATCCAGCCGTCTAAGAAGTGAGTCTTGGAACATCCACCGCAGAAGGGAGTCCAGTACTGCCGAGATATTGTAAGCAGTATTTGTAATACTGCAAGAGCAAACGATTGTAAAGCATGTGATTGTGCAAGTGTGAAGAACAATAAAGGTTCTATGGAATTTGAGACCGGCGTAAATTTATTTGTAGCGTGACACACAAAGCACGCTACAAAATATATCCTGAAATGACTCAGATGTAATTAAATATTACATAGGATTTATATCAACTGAATTTTACAGAATATAGTTAACAAGTGCATGTACACTGCATGTATAAGTACATGAAACAAAGACATTTCATTTGGAAGCATAAGAATAGCCACATACTTACCCTTTGTTAAAAATTGCATATGATACACACACAGGATAATGGTGCAGATTTAAAGGTACTGCATCCTTTTCTGATGGATCATGTATGACAGTCTCCTGCCCTGTTACTGTAACGCATGGGCAGCGGAAATGAGAAAGGGCAGTTAAAGCAGCAGCTGATGCTGCAGCCACAAGATTTCCCTCATGATTTAACACGTTTATGTCAACTCGCAGAACCCAGACCTGTAATAAAAGTTCACATAAAAGTTCAAATTAATGGAATAACATATGTGAAATTTGTACACTATTTCTGCAAGTATTCCAGAAAAATTAGCCACTGTACTTAGAATAAGAAATCCAACCAGCTGCCTTAAGAAGTTGATACTCACATTTACATAAATTATTTTCTATGACATATTTCAATATTATACTCCCACCAATGTCTGTCTTCCAAGTGATTTTCTTCCATGACAATTTTCAGTCATAATTTTTAAGTATTTCTTGTTTCTTTCGAGCACATTAATGCTCCACTACTGTCAATATCGTCAACTTAATCATCCCGACAATACTAGTAAAGAGTTTAAACTATTAAGTTTCCTGCTATGTATTTTCTCCACTGTACTCATCTCTGCTCACAAAAAATCAACCACACCTCAGCACTTTGTTTCAAAATACCTTCAGTGTTTCTCCTACCGTCAAAGGGAAAGATGGAGTTTCACACCCAGCAAAAAATAAATGGAATTATACTTGTATGCAATTATTTTCATACCTGGTTCTGTAGATAGGTCAAAATTATCTGAACTGAAAGACAACATGTATTTCCTAAATTTCATTTCTCAGTTTCAAAATGTTTATAATTTTAATTCTTTATTGTTTCTTTTATTGAATATATGATATATGATATAAACTCTGTCCTAAGTGCAACAATTTATTGTAGGTCTTTCGTCTTGCTTTCTTCTACACTACATGTTTCGGCCGCAAACGGCCATCATCAGGTGTATACACTCATGTAGCTGTTACACTGCACCCAGTTTAAAATTTAAAAACATACAGGTCTTCCCAATTGTTCCCTTCATCGCTGCTAACAGGATCTACTTCGCTGATATTTGTCTGATTCGTACCTCATCTTTGCCACCCACACACGTCAATTTTGCCCTTCATGAACTGGCATTTTTAAAATCTTCAGTTCCAATTTTAAAAATTCTTTCAAATTTTTTTCCCAAATTTTAAATTTAAAATTAAAATTCTCAGGCTTACTCGCCCATGTCTATAGTGCTGCAGCGGCTACTTCTTGTTTTCAGCACTGTACAGGTGTTATTTGTAATATACAAATATTCGTATTACTATGTTATGTACGTTGTACGTTATGTTTTCTTATGTGTTTATACTGTTATTTGTACTTACTCTGTGTAGGCTCCCTGTGTGCGTGTCGCTGCTTATCTTTACTACGTGTGCTGTCTGATGTATTGTGTGCTGTGTTTTATGTTGGTGAGTGTAGGAGGGGGATGGGTAGTGGGGAGAGGGAGGTACCATCAGTCTGTATAGACTTCATGTATTGTTTGAAATATGGGATTGTGTGTTTCTATGTGTGTCATTCATGTGTAGGCCCTTCTTACTTATTTTATATATATGGTATTTCTCTAATGTATTCAAATGTCTACCCTTCCTTCCCATTGTTACAACTTCCATTACATCTGTTATTGTTCCGTATGCATGTCCCGTATTTAGTATGTGATTTGAGTACCCAGAATTGCTATTATTATTTCTAATATCATGTATATGTTCTTTATATCTGGTGTTAAATGTTTGGCCTGTTTGCCCAATGTATTTCAATGGGCAATCTACACATTTCATTTGGTATATGCCACTTTTATTGTATTTATCTAATTGTGGTTTTTGTTTGAGTATATTTTCTATTGTGTTTCGTGTGCGGAATGCTACTTTTATCTGTGTGTCTTTGAAAAGTTTTGTAATTTTTCTTACTTCTTTTGTACTATATGTAAATGTGGCCCACTTCGTTTTATGTTGTTGTTCGTCATCATGTGTGTTTGATTTTTGTTTTCGTTTTGTCTGATTTGATCTCTTGATTATCTTTGTGTCATATTAGTTATGTTGTATGTTTTTAATAGTGTTCTTCTCTATTTGTTTTCCTTTTTCTGTTATTGGGTATGTGTAGAGTATATTTATTAGGTAATTAATACATGACAATTTGTGTTCGAATGGATGGCACGAACTGTTAGGTATTATGATGTCTGTTTGTGTGGGTTTCCTATATATTGAGAATTGCAAACTATCTTCATTACAATGTATTGTTATATCTAGAAAGTTAATAGATTCTTGTTGTTCTCTTTCAATGGTGAACTTTATAGTTGGTTGCAATTCGTTAATTTTTTTGAGTGTATGTTCTATGTTCGTTATTTTTTCATCATATATTATTAATATGTCATTGACATATCTAAAGTATTGAACTTAAAAAAACGTTGAAAGATAACATGAACTCCAACTGAGAGAACTACCCAAACCAATTAACCTTTAAAATCAAATGGTGATGAAATTTGTTAGACCAAGAATGTTTTGATTTCTCAGGTGAAGGTTCAGCTTTGATATTTAATAAGTGAATGTAACTGCCGATTTTGCAAAGTAATGAACCTGACCACCAAAAGAGTTTGGCCCAATATGGGGGCAAACATACTCAGTATGTATATGGTCCTGTAGTACTCATCATCATCATCAGTAATCTGTCAAGACGACAGGTCCACAGTCTCTTTCAAAACAATTCCTCCACTTAATGCGATCTAGAGCTTTCTCCTTCAAATGACAGTATCCTCTTCTGTCCCCAAGGTCATCCAGCATCTTCTTACGTCTTCTTCCTCGTCGTCTTGTCACTTCTATCCGCCCATCTATCTTTCCTTCGATAGCTTCTTTTAGAAGGCAGTTTCTGCGTAAAACATGACCAATCCA